TATATATATATATATATATATATATATATATATATATGTATATATACATATGCATTTTTTTTTTAAATGAAAGTGGTTATTGGATAAAAGGTCATACAAAAAATAACAATTATCAACAACGAGAAATATATTACATACCTGATCCAGCGACTCCGACGGTGGCGGCACCAGCACCAATAAATTTCGCAGCAGAGTCGATATCACGACTGATCGTGGATGTTTGGAAACTACGTATAATCGAGGACTGCGCCAATGGAGACTATAAAATAACCAATTATATAATTAATGAAAAAGTCATGCAGTATTGCAAAGAAAGGAATTTCAAGCATTCGAGAGTCTTAAAATCAAAAATACTTAGATTTAATATAAACATTGTCATATTTAATTATTATTTCTATTACATATTATTATTTCTATTATTATTTCTATTACAGTGTTATATCATATAAAGTTGATCTACTTCTGCTTCTCAAACAACATTGGCTTATATAATCTATATCTACTTCTTTTTTGGTTTTGCCATTTCTGATTAATGTTTTGACATGGTGAATTCGATACATCCATTCAGAATGGAAGGAAACATCTTATAATACTTATTCTCATTATTAAGAAGACAATGAAAAAATTCTCATCTTATTCACAATTATCTTAATTCTGTAAATGCATCGTTAAAATTGGTTGTTCTTTTAATTAAATTGGCTGTTCTTCTCATAATTTTAATTGAGTTAATTCATGACATAAAAAAGATTCATCTTCCCAAACTACTCTACGATATGCATCTCTTAAATCATTTGCTTCAATCAATTTGCTCTAAACTCCATAATATAAACCCTAAGTTTGACTCAATGCAACTTTAGATTGTAACATGACAGTTTTATAAATTGATACGACTCAAAAATAAATAAGTTAACGAATTGCCAAAAATCGGGAAGTTTATTTCAAAAATCGTTCGTTCAACTTGAAAATTGTGAAAATAGAGCTGCGCTTATATAACCCCTGTAACGGAGATAGGTTATGCAATACGAAAGAACATCGAGAAAAGACTTACAGCACTGACTGGGTTTAGAGTCTGGTTTTGCTGTATAGACTGACTATGGTTCACCACCGTACTGCTCAACGGCCGTATGTAGTTCTTAGTTCCGGAGACCAGCTGCAAATCGAACATGAACTTGAAACACCGGAGGTTATATAATAATGTAACGAACTGGAAAAAAAAGAAGTTCACTTACGGTCGATTTGGCAACGGGCGCGATGAATCTGGTGCAAGCATACATGATGACGTTTGAAGGTTTGCGTTCGCTCTCGGACAAGTATCTGAAACAATAGCGAAGCGTTTCGAAAAAAAGAAAAAAAAGAATCGAAGGCAAGAAACGAGCTGCGAACCCGGTGAACGCCAGGCAAATCACTGACCACGAGATCGGGTGGCACGTAGCGCGATGTTACGTAATGTTCCCAACCGGGATTGTTATGCGAGATTTCGGGGGATCGGAAAGAGTCGAGTACCGAAACTCGTTCTTCTGACGTCTTTCTGACTTTTGTGTCGCGAGTAAAAGAAGAAAAGAACCACGAAGCAACGAATGGCCGACGATAGATTACAAAATGGCTGCTTCTCGCACTCTGCTTTCCCCTCTCTTAATTAACTTCGTCCAAAATCGCATCTAAGAACTCTCGTACTTTCAACGATTCGTCTCTAAGTTGGATACTTAAATGATATCAAAAAGGCAATTTGTGAGGAATTACGCGAATTTTCTCTCATCTCGTCCGATTTTCAGTTAGCAGAAGGTCGAACGTACCAGAATACGATGTCGAAGAGACGGTGAGAAGATCCGGCCCTTGGAATGTTGAATTGACGAGTGACTAGTGAATGAATCGCTGAACGAACGGACAATCTATCTCCACTGAACGAAACGGATCGACTTCCGCGCAATGACCTACTCACTGCTCGCCGCTTTCAACACCTCGAATCTCGCCGACTACGATTATCGACCAACCGAATTTAGCCGAACGCTTCTGCGTCTGCAGTAACTAATAAATGCGTTTGCTGTTACGTATTTCCGAAAGCCTTTCGGCACCTTAAAACCTCGAACGTTCCACGTTAAAAATCACGTTAATTTTTATCGTTGCTTTTCCTGTTCGAATTTCCGAAAAATCTCGTTGAAGCGAGAAGATCGATTTTTCGAAATGAAGACGCTTGCTTGATTCGAATTCTCGCTAGGGAATTCTAGGGAATCTTGTGAAATTCCCGTGATTAACCACCATGAAAGAGAAATCATAAAGGTTATTTTACATTAGAGACGATTATGAGACTCAAATTTCGATCTATCTACAAAATCCTTTTTAGGACAAAATTGAAAAATTTGACGCTTTCGCAACGATTATCACTGTTTAAGGCATACGGCGATATTCACAGTTCCGAGTAAAATCTCGAATGAAGTTTTAAATAAAATTTATTCGTTTCTTTCTTAATATATCATCGCATGGAATATTACATGTGTCATTCTACGCTTTTCCGTTTGTGCTTTAAGAGCTGCAGGTCGCTTTCGTATTGAAGTATTTGGTTAGCATTGTACATTTGAAAGAATCGTTTTCCGTGTTCAAACGTCGCGATCATGATCGCGCAAGCCGGAGCTACTTTAATTATACGCGGGATTAACCCTGTAAATAATCCTCTCACTCCATTTTGCATATAAATTTTTCGTATTACGGTCCACGTTCCGCTACTACGTCCAGGTTTATCTGTAATTCGGATTTTTGTTACAAAAAAATAGAAGAAAGATAGGAAAGAAGTTGAAATTTTTACTATACCTGAATAAATTTCTTTCTCACCCATTTCTATCTGTTTGTGTGTCTTCACAACATCAAATGGTATGGTTAAAAATGCAGCTATCTATAAAATCAATACATAAGATTTCTTCATGTTGCTTTCTTTTGTTAAGTTTGTTAATAGAATACTTACAGATCCTGCTACAGCGCCTGCTATAAAATTAAAAGTAAAAGTCTGCTGTGTCTGAAATTTTTGCTTTATAGTTTCATAATTTAACCAATAAATGGCGCTAAATGGCACGTCACGTAGAAGAGTACTGGTTAAACCCATCCATAAGCCAGAGACCCCACTGTATTTTATAACAGTTTTCAATGCTTGAAGAATTTCTAAAATGAAAAGATATTGAATGTCACGAATTAGTTGGGACAATAATACAAACACAAAAAATACCTGCGTAACTTAATCTTTGAGATTGCATTTTTGTTCTAATTAATTCTAATGGGCTCACTAAAGTTGCAGCCCAAATACGTGCTATACTCCCAGCTATCATAGGAATCCAGAATGGCTGTTCCATAGTAATTCCTTTTTTATAGGTATTATATTGATCCTACGAACATATAAAGTGTTAAACAACGGAAATAGGTACTTAGATGAAATTAAAGGAGATTGTGTTTACTTTAAAATATAATCTTAATTGTTCATATGAAACAAAGTATACTATAGTTGCAGGTACTGCTAGAACAAGAGTAGGACTTAAACCACTCCATAGTGAAAGTATACCTTCCTTCTTGCTAATCTTCATAAGAGCATCCTATAAATGAATACCATCTTTTTACATATATAGTATTATAAATCTTAAAGCCTAATTATGGCTTAAAGTTTGATATAACATACCACTGTGCCATTGAACTTTCCATTTCCTTTAGCCCATACCGGACCTTTTCCATTCAAACAAGGACACAAATGATCCATTAAACCATTACAATAAAGAAAACATTTGTTGGAAAGCATCGCTTTCTGTTGTGCTTGAAGCCTAATCTTGACTACATCCAAAGGAGTAACTACAAAATTTTATAAAATAAATTTTTCTTACAAAAATATACCGTATTACACTATAAAAGTAAATTTTACCAAAAACTGATGTAATAAAAGCGCCAGTGCAAGAAGCAATAATCTGTTGATATGGCTTGATTCGAAACCTTGGATCATCCAGATCCAAGTTTGGTGGTATGCTGCTTAACTTGTTCATTTTCAAATTTTATTCTGTGTCACGTTGATGCAACTTTCCCTTTCACATTCAATAACATAATTCTTTGCAAATAATTTTCTGATTACTTCAGAATGAACATGACGATAACGTGTTTAGTAACATAATGAAGATTTTTGTTGTTTTATCAGTTTTCAGTAAAAAATTTCGCTAATCAAGCCAAGGTTATAATTTGGAAAATAAGAAACAATTACGTGCGTTGATTATTATATAATTATTTGTCAAAATTTATTAAAATATTCGTAAAATGAAAATGAAAATGACAATAATAGCGTGCTTGATCGAAATACATTGAAACTGACGGCTGTCTCTCGACGACTTACTTTTTCTTTGTTACTTAACACGTGGCCCTAATTCACGCGGTATTCAATTCTGTTATAAAATTGTGACTTTCTCTAGAAAAATCATAAATGTACAGGCACCATGTGGAATTGGAAACCGGCCTGCAAATTAATCGAAAAATAATGTTACATTACATAGGCAACCATTCGTTGAACGATTCTTATGATTGGAAAGTGCAAGGTCATGTGACGAATTGAAAAATATATCTATTTAGGGAGAAATGCCTGTGCCTGGATTATTTTTAGCATTAATTATGTCTTTTTGAGACATACAGTAAATTCATATTTTTCAAGTGTTTATTACAATTGTATTCGATGAATATTTATTATTTTATATTTACGAATGTGGAAAGCTGTACATTATACAGTTTATTTAAACATTATGTTGATTTCGATGTCGGTAAAATCGACGTCATTTTTATCGACATGGACGAGATATTAATTGTCAATTTGAAATTACGTGAAAATTACTTAAAATATGTGGGATTTCATTCATCACTAGCGATTACTCAAAGCTCATTTAACTCTACGTAAGACGTAACTTGATGTAAAATCAAATTCAAAATGATTTCCTATCTCTGTTAAACTTCGTTCGTGACCAAAGTCGCGCATGCGCGGAACACGTGTGTATCGCGCATGTGCAACTTATCGGTTTGGAGGGGCGTAGAAAGGAGGCCATATTGTACAGTTAAATTGAAAGAACGAAAATAATTATATCATCGTGCGATCGTGCCTGTTTCGTTTCGTATTTTTGTTGCCGTGCGTATCCACGAGACGTGTGCCTACGTACACCGTGATCAGGGCAACAGTGCACGAAGTCCGTTTCGGGTATATCCTGCAGTTTCCTTCCCCTTGTAAATAACTACAAGTTGTAGGCAGTGTATCCCGATATCTAGGCACCGTCCGTCAGTCTGCTCAAGGGGTTTGTTGCTCCAGACGAGATGGGCACTCGGGATGACGAATATGATTATTTATTTAAAGGTAAACCTCAATCCGACTCGTCGATTGTTCGCTTCGTTTCCCGTTTTTGGCGAAAATTTTGCGAAAATTTCTCCACGCATATATGCATACACATTTACACATACTGTCACGAAACAAGATACACACGTATATACTACATTTGCATATTCCTTTATACGTATACGTACATATATGTATACATACATACATACATACATCATACATAACATGTATATGCTGATGGTGTGCGTGTGTGTGTGTGTGTGTGTGTACGCGCGCGCGCGTGTTACTGCTGTTGCTATTCATTGTATTATGTGTACACATATACACCTACGATTTTATATACGTGTACATGTACGTGTTAGTTAAAAATCAACAATTGTCCTCATTCAGCAACGTAACAGGGCCCCGGGTTGACGTTAAGTTCGAGGCGGCGATATGATTGACAGAAAAAGCGTAGGACACCAGACTCGACGCGACGTCAGAGATGGTCTCTCACGCACGAGAACGTCGAGGGATTTTGTTAATCGACGGCCAAGGCGGCGAGTTCGAAACCATCCGGGGCTCGCGTTTAATCGAACTCGAGTCAACTGTCTGAGTGTAAATCTTTATTTCGTGGCGAGTTGTGAACGTGCATTCTTTCGCCCGTACGTTCGTTATCTATGATTCACTTTCCTTGAATGACTTCGATGATTGAAGGGTTCACAACAAAGGCGGGCCCTTGCCCCACGTTTGTTACTCTCAGAGGAACAAAGAGCAACTTGTATATCCCAGTAAATTAATTTTTTACTTGTTATTCATTTAATTTTTATTTATTTGTTATTTGATTGTTATTGAACAGACTTCTGTTCTTTTCTTTTTTAACGGAGTATTTATTTTTGTAGATGTAATTACGTGATGGAAGGATTTTAACTCGATTAACGTTGGAACGTGTTAGAGTAATCAAGAGATGACCAATCGATAATTTTTCGCAGAAGTTTCGTTGATTTATTTTTCATTAAGCATTTTTTAAAAAATTTCAAACATACGAACGAGCCAATACATTTGACTAGGAGATTGTAACTTTAACTCTAGCTTAATTCTACGGAATCATCTATTCTACTACTTTTTTTTTAATTTCTTCTATGTCAGTTTTACTCGGACTTTCTCCAGCGTTAAATTACAGAATTGTAAATCCTAGAATTCAAATCACATTTCGAGAGAATCGAGTATTTTTGAATTGAGGATAACGATCGATGTCCAAAGGAACGAATCAATTTTCGTTCGAATCGCGTAGATGTAGTCAGAATGTGTAATTTTAATAATTTTTTTCTTTTCTTTTTTTTTTTTTTTTACTTTCACCGTTTGGATTTTCTTAACGAAATGTCTTTTTTTCTCTTTGTCGTTTCAGTCGTTCTTATTGGTGACTCCGGCGTAGGGAAAAGCAATCTTTTGTCAAGATTCACGAGAAATGAATTCAACTTGGAGTCGAAGTCGACTATAGGGGTTGAATTCGCTACGCGTAGTATACAGGTAGATGGAAAAACTATCAAAGCTCAGATTTGGGACACCGCGGGACAAGAGCGTTATCGCGCCATTACATCCGCGTAAGTTGAATTGTTGAAGAAACAACGGTGCTTCCGTTCAATGGTCAAATTATCGAATTTGATAATTTTGAACAGTTTGAAAAAATGGCACATTAGAGTGAATTTCAATGCTTTGGACTCGCACGTCACGCTGGAGGTGACGTAAATTTTTCATCACACTTTTAGAAAATTATGTTACAATAATGATAATAAATAGGTAAAGGAAACATTGAATTTTTATCCACATTGGATAGATAATTCATCTTTAAAATAAGTAAAGGCGCTTAAAAAATATCGGAAACAAATATCAAGAGTTCAAAGGATTAATAAATGGTTGTTAATACAATAAGCGATGATCTCATTTCGATGGAAATTCGCAGGTACTATCGCGGTGCTGTCGGCGCCTTGCTGGTATACGATATCGCGAAGCATCTGACGTACGAAAACGTGGAGAGATGGTTGCGAGAGTTGCGGGACCATGCTGATCAGAATATCGTCATTATGCTGGTGGGAAACAAATCTGACTTGAGGCATCTACGCGCCGTACCGACAGATGAGGCGAAAGCGTTTGCGGAGAGAAACGGCCTCTCTTTCATTGAAACTTCTGCTTTAGATTCAACGAATGTCGAGACGGCATTTCAAAACATATTAACAGGTAAATACCACTCTGCTTCAATATGCTCCTAAAGTAACGATTAATTGACTGAAAAGAAACAGACACGACGCTGGACATTTATACATTTATACAGAATTTAGAAACACGAATAATGTATAAAGATGATAATAGTAACATTTGCTGTATAGTATTTTATATTACAGTATAGTGAATGAAAATACATTTTTGCTTTGACTCCATTCTTTCAATTGTGGATCTGTAAAGATCCGTCCATTCTATTTGATTGATATTGATATTGATTTGATAAAAATCATAGCTAGACTTCCATCTCTTTTTTCAAACACATTTCTTCTCAATGCTGCTATTATTGTTATCGAGTAGATTGTAAATAAATTTCTTGCCGAATAGACGATGATACAATATTTGATTATTGTAGAAATCTACAGAATCGTATCGCAGAAACAGATACGTGATCCACCCGAGGGTGATACAATCCGGCCACAAAACGTAGAACCCATCGACGTGAAGCCAACAATGAACTCAGAGGGAATGCGTAAGCAGTGCTGCCAGTGACTCACCTTGTTGCTTAAAATGTGTGTACACGCAAATACAGTATCAATATCACGGAAGTACACTCAGATAATACTAACTTTTTAAGAGAAACAGATTTAGTCTATGGTCCAGTAAAAAGGAAAAGAAAACGAAAAAGAAAAAAAATGAGAAAGTTTCTGGGATAATTCTTTGTATGATAGCATAGTTTTAATATAAGAAAACTATGATTAGTTAATTATAAATATTAAGTTGATTTGTAAATTGAGTTAATTTTAACATACGTCAAAATTAAATATTACTGAAGACACTTTTATTATGTATTTTTTCTTCCATGATGATTGTTACTAATTGTCTAATTTTATTATTGTATTTAAGCATTACGTTACACTCAAAGGAGTCTTAACACTTTTATCATTTACAGAACTGAGAGTAACGCTTTTCACTTTGTCACAAAGAGAGTTATTGATTAAAAGAGAATACAAACACTGAACACATTCGGTTATATACTTACTGACTGAACTTTACATTTTATAGAAATATCTAAGATAATACGTTCTAAAACGAGCGATGATAGATTTGTTCAATACTGTAAGTACGTCGAAGTAATTTATTTGTTTATACTGTTGTGAAACTGGAAAAAGTTTCCTTAAATCGATCAAAGATAATCATCAATGCCAGAAGAGCGACGAATAAAAAGAAGCTTCTAAAGCTACATTGTAAGTTTCAAAAATCTTGCACCAAACTTTATTTATTAACGCAGCAGAGGTCGTTCATTTTCGTCAATATTATTTTTTAAATATTTTGTTGCACATATTTTGAATATATATATACATATATACATACGTAATACACGGTCTGTAAAAATGTTAATTTTTAAGAGATATTTATGAAGTGATATAGCTTTATATGGCAGCATTTCAGTACGTAGATTATATGTAATTCAACATATGAGAACTTATATATATATAAAAGTCACTTCATATTTTTTTTTTTTACATGTAAACAAACGCTGAGGACATTAAGATGCATTTTTTTAGAGTAGCACACTAGTGTACAACTTTCAGATAAATAAATATTTCTTTCAATTATTGAGACGTACTCCTCAAATTGTTGCAAATCAACATCTTTTTTTCGTAAAAACGATTACATAAAATAATATTTCTGTTGTAATAAACAAAATTACAAGTAGACTTATGTTTATTTGAAGTTTAATCTTTATTAAAATGTTTTTCTTATTCTTAGTTTTATTACAAAAATTTGCGTTCAATTCTATTTAAAAACAGTAAAATTAACCATTGGACTTATGTTTCACGTATACTTTGTTCTGAGATTGATCACTGGCGATTGAAAACAAACGAAGAATTCAATGATTGCTGTAACAACGATTCTTTTTGCTACTGTTCAAACATATGCTATTTAAAATCCAATTGTACTCCTGTGAGACCTCTACTTGCTTGCATCGTGCAATACACATAAACTTATAATCATATTAGACTTCCTAACAAAATATGAAGAAAGAATTTTTTAGAAATTTTGAACATGTTCATAGATGTTGTACTGCTTCTGCAGTTTAATCTTGATCTCTAAAAAATAACAATTATGATTAAGATCTTTTTTTAAGATCAGAAGCATTCCTAAAGACTGAACATGTGAAATGTGTATCAAAGTGTTTTTTTTTTTCGAAGATAATTTTCATCCTCACCAACGAATTGCGAATTGCAATCTATCATTTACACGCGGCATAAGACCACAACTAGCCCCCCTAATCTGTGATTGTAATTAATAACTGCGATTACGTACCTTTGTGTTTGCAGAAGGACATACAAAGTGGCAGAGGCAAAAAGAAAAGTGGTCGACGGTAAACGTAACAGGTGCAAACAGTACAAGAATCAAGACTATTTACGAATATAAGTATATAACTGATTATTGGTTTCCCAAATAATCCGGCTGTTCCGGATGCAGAATAGAGACTGTTCTCCTGGCTCTTGTCGTTTTATGGGAGCGGATGATAATAGTAGTACTTAAAAAAAGGAAACATCTGTACATCTTTGCCCTCAAGAACCGCTTGATTTCAATTGAATCATACTACTATTACTAGTACTACTGCTATTGTAATATTACTACTATTACTACTATTACTACTACTACTACTACGAATACTACTACTACTACTATCAATACCATCATCATCATCATCGCTATCATTGACTCAGCCTCTTTTGATCGCAGGACGAGCAGATCTTTTTTTTTTTTTTTTTTGTTTTTAAATTATTTGTACGCTTGCTCCCGTGGAAGATACAATGAAAAATGCAACAAAGAGTCCTCAAGTTCCTTCGGATTATTTGGGAAACGAACGATGAGGATCGGGGAAAAAAAAATCTAGCGACACATATACAATATACACACAATAGCCGGATACGTTGAAGTAAAGAGTACCATAAACACAATCATAAAAATACATCATCAGAAATATTTACGAAGAACGAAGAATATGCGCATGCACTAATTCTGCCCCCCCTCCCCCCGAAATTCATCCTG